TGGAACGTGATTGTCAAATAGATGTTGTTCAGGTAAATAATGTAAAACCTCTGGTCGTTTAGGTTTGGAAATCATTTCTGAGATATCTCCATTTAGGATTGCTAGGGTCGTGAAGAGGGTTTCTGTTGGAAAAAGAAAACTGTGTGTACGTGTTTCTGGTGTTTGTTAAAATAAAAGATTTGTTCATCAATAAAAAAAACACATTGCATAGTAAAAATTTAATAAAGAAAGTCGTTTTTAGGGAGTAAATTCGTGACGTGCTTAATTGAAAGGGCGTTTAATGATCTACCAAGCATATAAAAGAGATAGAATTCTTAGCGGCATTCAATTGAATTCTTCAATCTATTGTAGGTCCCGTCTAACCATTAAATAAATTACGCCCCGTAACGAAGATTTCATAGAAGATCACCGATCCCAACCAAACAGCCTTTGTATCCGCCAACTGTATTAGTAAATTAACTTTCCATCAATCACTTTTATCACCATATGTCATTTTATGACCAATAGAAGAAGAGATCACTATCTTAATGACTTGCTTAAAAGAAAGTATATGATGAACTTCACCCTTCGAATAGTTTCTATCGGAACTCCTTACAGCTCATTTGACACTTGCTCGGAGTTTGGTGAAAAGGTGAGTGGAAGTTAAATTGCGCTTATCCAATCTCATTTAACCCGGTTTAAATCATGAGTAATCTTACATAATTGCCTTTTTCTTCGAAATTATTCCATTGAAGAGCTAACAAGTGATACTTTGAGTTTGACGAGGGTTTCCGAGATAAGTATTAATTTTCTAGTTTAAGTATCTTAAGTTAGTGTATAAACTTTCTTTTGATCGATCGACATCAGAAACTGGATTTTTTTTATCGTTCTCAGGAAATTGTTCTCAGTGGATCAACAGAGACAAAATCCCTAGCTAGCAGCACTCAAATTCTTCAACCTTTTGTAGGTTCCACCTGACTAGTTACGCCCTGTAACGAAGATTTCTTGAAAGATCACAAGTCCGAACCAAACAACGATTAATATCAGCCACCTTTATTAGTTAATTAATTTTCACCACTTTTGTCACCTTATCTCAATTAATCATCAAAAGAAGAAGCGATTTATCAAAGGCAGTGATGTTGTTAATTGAATGGGGGTTCGATGATCTATGTTTGAAACATATAAAAGAGACAGCTGCATTCAAGTGTAAGTCCTGCCTAACAATTACATGAGTTACGCGCCGTAACAGAGATTTCTTTGACGATCATTGAACCCTACTCTTCTTGCGGCTTTTAAATTAACTTTCCATCAATCATTTCTATTGCCTTCTGTCAATTTATGACCAATAGGAGCAGAGATCACTATCTTAATGACTTTGTTAATAGAAATATATGATGAACTTGAGCAAACTTAGAACAGTTTGCTACGGAACTTCTTAAAGTTCGTTTGACACTTGCTACGGAGTTAACTAAACAGGTAAGTCGAGGTTAAATTGCACTCATCTCATTCAAATTAGTTTAAACCACCAATAGCCTTGCAAGGTTGCTGTTTCTTCGAAATTCTTACATGATTGAAGAGTTGTTGTTGTTTTTTTTTTGGTCAGATCTTGATCTTGGCGGTACCAACTTGTTGTTGTTGATCGATCGATTTTTCTAATAGAAACTGGAATTTTCATGATTTAATTGAATAAACAAATGGTGCATCACATTAGAGTTGTTTAAGCATAAGAAACAAGGCACATATCCCTGCAAAAGAAAAAGTTTACCTGCTGAGTAGCGACGTCTATTCAGAGCAGACATGGTCAGCTTATCAACCTCGTCCCCAGGGATCTTTTCCCTGGCTTTAGATTTTAGGGGCTGGTTTTGGTGTATTTCACCTCTCTAAAGGTCACCTTGCACAGTTGGTCAACGAGTGCCATTTGTTGACATGGTGATACACGAATCATGGCCACTTTTTAAAAACACTTCATAACGTCTTCTGATTGCCAACGAGTCATGCCTAGAAATTGTCTCCTTCAGGTATAGAAAAATATCTCACGACGTAACCTGCTGCCTGTCCCCATTCCCCACCCCCTCAGCTCCTCGCTCCAGAGTGCCTCCCTCTTTATTTACCAGCCTGTTGAGAGCCCCGGATATACTCCTGAAGTTCATTTGCTCTAAATCGTTTCAGGATACTGTCTTTCTTTTGTGCAAAACGTGTGGAACGTCTATACCGGCTGGTTTATAAGCCTATTTGATTCGTGAGCTGTTTGCATTTGAATTTTTTTTTTTTGATCCACTGATTTGAGACTAAACACGTATTCATGGAAGATAAACTTTGGGACATGATTTTCAAATAAATGTTGTCGCACTCAAATAATGTAAAACTTCGGTCGTTTACGTTTAGAAATCTTTTCTGAGATATCTCCGTTTAGGATTTGTTTTGGTTAGCGATTGCTTTTTCCTTCGTTAAGCCGAGAAACCCCCAACAGAGAAATATTCTTACTGACTATTCTTACCAAAGTGCAGCAAGGTTTCAGCGCAAAACGATTCTCAGTAACACAGTTATTTTTGACGAATTACGATATGGAAGACTATTCAAGATGAAACGCCAGTTAGATTTCAGCAAAACTTTCGATAAGATCCCCCACGTGTGTCTCTGACGTAAGTCACAGTTTGCTCTGGTAGCTGTGGTCCCTTGCGTAATTGGTTCGAATGAGGACCTTGAGCAACGAGATGACGCCCCGGACGTCAAAAATGGAAACTGGAAGTTGACCATTTTCAGTGCTCTGATTCGTGAATTATACAGAGGGAGTTAAAACAAAGGCATTCACTATTCGTTGTGTGAGACAGAGGCGTTCCTACAGGCGAGACATAGAACTTCCGGTTGCTATTCATGACGTCCGGGACTTCAACGTTCTCGTTGCTTAAGCTCGCTAAATATATTTCCTTACGAACTGCGCTCAGTCTGTTGTCTGTCATGACAAATTTTTCCATCCTTCGCAATTGACATCAAGGGTTCCGCAAAGTACAGTTTTAGGACCAGTAGTATTTCTTAGACGTAAGGGCAAACACCATTCTTTTCTCGAGCTCAATAAACGTACAGTTTTTGATTGATTTCAAAACTTTTCAATGACTTCCTCAAGCACGTGGCAATTCTTCAAAAATTCAGAGTATATGATATATGACAACATAAGGCTGGCCTCTGTATCTTACTCGGTTCAAATAAGACTGTTCTTTCCAACCAGAACTAATTGAATCATAAAGTAGACTGACATAAAACGAACTTTTAAGGTGTAATTGTCAGATCAACATCATTGTCCTTCGGGTCGTAAATACTATACAATTATGCTTTACTGACCAAGCATGAGGTTAAGGTGGCTAAACACTGCTAAAAATTGGCTATACTTTCGCCTGTATTTGACAGTGAAGAAGTCGAGGTCAATAGGAACGCCAAAACAGATTGAGCCAATATCCAGCCATCTTGACCAAACAAACTTGGTCAATAGAGGATTTATTATTAATGGCTTATACTACTACGTGAGAAATTTCTGCAATTTGATTGGCTTAGAGCAGTGGTATTTCAGCTTAATTTGAAATACCTACATGTGAAAATTACAAACCTTTTTCGGGTAGTAGTATAAACAAATAATAGCATGATTTGTAAGTGATATTTGGCATAAATGCCACTCGTGATATTTCAAAATTGTCTCAAATTTCACTCGCCTAACGGCTCGTGAAGATGTATAACAATTTTGAATTATCACTCGTGGTATTTATGCCAAATATCACTACTAATCATGCTATTTCCTATACTAACAGTGGGAATTTTTCTTCCGGAACTAACGCGGGAAATCCCGAGCGGGCAACATATATAGGCCAAATCTCACTCACTCGGGTGGCCTGAATCAGAACACAGGATTCGCTTACTGATCTAGGCATATAACAACGGGGAGCTTAAGCAAAGGCGTTTTTGCGCGACACAGATTAACCAGAAGTGGACTTTTTGCATTCTTTGGCGGAGGTTTTGCCCAGAATCATGTCTATGAGAGCAAATTCACTTCGCAGTTGAAATTTGAAAGTGAAGGCACTAGTTACTGGTGCGACGGTCAAAAACGCCTTTGTTAGCTTCCCTCAAGAGAGAATAATGGCACTAACTTCTACATAGAAGGTCCGCATCAAAACGGAAATACTAGTTTAACAAGGGAGCTTTATACCGTTGTGTATCCGTTGTAATCAGTTGTACTAACCTGAGATCAGGCTCTATTTTCGTTTCGCTTTGCAAATAACATTCCGGCGCAGATTCCGGCGGGCATGGCGTTCAGGTTACAGTTGTACCAGCTGAATCAATTGAGAGTATTCCAATTGTGTCATAAATCCCATTTAATCTATAATCCTTCAACAAACTGTTACTATTGTTAATATGATAACATACACCAAGACTAAAATTATTGGGACATTTATGTGTAATCGGCAAACTGAAATGGTTACATATACTCTCTTACCTCAAAAAATTTACAGAATGATGTCTCACTCGCGTCAAGCCAGACTGTGGATCATGGTCCTAGCTGTGTGTAGTGTGACCCCGCTCATCCATGCGGCGCGTAATATATTACATTGCCACAACCTAGAATATACTGGTCCGATAAAAGAGGTGATAAAAATGAAACCCACTAAGCTGGCAGAGAAGACTTCCAATGCAGCCAAGGTCATACAGGGTTTTGCCACCGACATGGCCTCCTCTGCCATAGAAGAGATCCCAGTCGTAGGTTCCGTACTCAGCACTCTCTTCGGCCACATAGTAGACGCTTATGGCGGTGGAGGCTTAGATCCTGAAGACGTTTACAACAGTTTGAAGACATAAATTGATCAGCTCAAAAAGTACATGGACCAAGAAATCGTAGAAGCAAAATTAGATTACATCAAAAAAGCTTTTGGGACAAGCCATGGTGGAATTCTGAGCTATACAATGCACTGCGAGAAAACGTACAAAGGTGATGCAGAAGACATGGCAAATTAAATTGTTTGGAGAATTTACGCTCTATGCTGGCTCAACAGTACCACTTCTTCGTGCCATCCGCTGACAGTAAGGTCAGTATGTTGGAATTTTCTTTGCCCATGTTCCGCATGTATGGAGAACTCTATGTGGACACAATTTTAGAGCAGATTGGTGTTGCAAGGAAGAGAGGCAAGGATACCCAAGCTGTAGCACATACAGAAACCTTGATTAAAACAGTGAACGCGTTCAAAGAGCATTTCAAATCCGCTTTTGAAAAAATCGCCAAACTTCATGGCAGGCCACACGTTATGCCACCCGATAAATATCCCGACTGCGCAGTTTTACCAGGCCACAATGTCGAAATGTGTACTTGCATTTTAGCAATCGGACCAAACAAATTCACCTCGGATGAAGTCACAAATGGCCCAGGCAAAGACTCAAAAAACTTTTGTGTTGGGATTTTCTATGACCGTGTGAACCCATGTGAAGATGCCGAGCGAGGTTATGTGGCCAAATACGCTCGAAAACACCTGACAGCCATTACAACCTACTGGAAGAAACAAGTTGGAGATGCAGTAGATAGTTGGGTAGAGACTGCTAAAGCGCTGGAACCACTCAAGGCGAACGTTAAGAGGTGAGCATCGAAGGCAATATCTTGTTCTCTTGTTCTTAGCACTTACTATTTTAAATGATGCTTTTCTTAATAAGTCTTGTGACTTTCATGATAGGAAATTAACGCTTCCTGAAATTAACGCAAATTTCAATTATTCTCGTTAATTTCCGTAAACGTTAACTTTGGCGCCATCAATTTTAAAAGTAGAACTTAATGTCCGCGACCTTAATTTTGACTGTTTTGGCCTCAATTCTCGGTACACTCTTGACAGTCTTGACACCTAAAGAAATACTAGTATTTTATCAGGGTCGAGATATCCGCTAGTATCAGTGCAACCCCAGGCTGTGAAGAATGGCCTGTCCCTTGTTCGTACTTAGGGAAAGTACCAAGAACAAAGTTTCAGTTTTCGGATTATGCGTTGAACTTTGTACCCGTTGTCTCAACAAGTTTTGTGTCTTTGTGACCATCGCTTAAATTTCCCTCATTTTGAAATGTTTCCCTCTCTTTCGCTTTAATTTTCTTTATTCAAAAGTCTTTCTTAATTAATTTGCGTTCATTTAAAAATACGTTGTTTTCATGGAGCGTTATTTACGTATATCGTTCTTCTTCTTCCACTAAGCCAACCCGTAATCGAATGATTGACCGATGATTCGCTTACATTCAGGCTTGGAAAAAAAATGTTAAGAAAAAGGGACGTTGCCGTGTTTATAGTTTCAACCATCTTTAACGCACGGGAAATTACAAGTCACAAAAAATGTTAGTTTCACACTGTAGCTTGTGAGTAATCTAAGAGCACTTGCGGAATGACCTACCTTATGTATGTTTTCGTCAGAATTTCATCATCAAGCCTCGTTTTGAAGTTTAAAAGCTGCCAAGTTTGGCATAAATGAATTCCCCAGGCAGAACAGTTGAAAAGAATATTCACCCCCCAAAGAGTGCAAATGCGAAGAATTTTGCTAACAAACGAGGCTTGGTGGTGAAATTTGCTCGTCTGACGTTATCATGCATTTGAGTGTGAAGGAGTAACTTAGTGACCATGGAAACGTCCGTGGTACCAAGAAGCAGAGGTTTGCTGCCAAGTATGATACGTCACGGTACGTCATACTCTGCAGAAGACACTTAGCCAATAGGGAATGGAGGCCAACTAATGTGATGTGCAGCAGTGTTCAGCTTTTTTTCTTTCTTTCTTTCTTTCTTTCTAATCAAAGCCTATATGTTTTGGGCTGGAAAAACTACGCATCGAAGTTTGAGGACTCTACTCGGCCATTTCTTTACCGCAAACCCAAGTTGTCAAGTTTTTGCACCATTTTAGAGATGTCGCTTGTTTCTTTGTTTCTTTGAAAAAAAAAACTTGTTTATAACGAAGTATCTTTTTATTTCCTGTTATCCTTTTAAGAGAAAAGTAACGACAGAAT